CCGCTATACACAATGGTTTCCTAATATTAAACTGGAAGCCGACGGGTTCCCATCTGAAGAGTCTACTCGTGAAAGACCTAAACCATGCAAGACCCGATGTTATGGCAGCTATTTGATAACCACCATTACCACTACGGCAGACTATCATTGTACTTCAAATTAGTATTCAAGGGCATCATTGGGGCTATGTCAAGCAGAGGGACAGGCCGAGAGGCGGCTATCTAATCTCGACTGGATTTCCAGCGGATTGATGTAAAAACACAATAACTACCATGTTCTTAATTACTTAATCATTGACATGCTCTTGTTGTTTTTCATGTGCTTTTGGAACCATTAAATGACTTGTTCTGTGTGGAATCCCCCTACAACTGACCATGGTCTGGTTCAGGGTCAAGGTTGGCCGGGCAACCAACCCTCAAACCCTCGAATCCTTGCCTGTCCGCGGGGCAGAGGTTCCACCACATCTTCCGTGGCGGGGCAAAACGGCAACAACCAACACAGACCCATCCCTAAAACGACGACTCTCATCAAACCACATCACAAACGCCGCTTCGATGCTGAAACAAAACGGGCGCTCGCCTTCTGGGCATTTCTCGCGGCTGAAGCCGGTCGACCTCGACCCGCTGGTACCAGAATACGGCCTCCCCTCGAAAGGCGAGAAGAGGTGCGTAGTCTCACCCCCAACCCTCCCTTGATTGCGCTCTCTCGACCTCGCCCTCACGCAAACATCTCTACAATACAGACTCCTCTCCCACAAAACACAAGAATCCTACTACTCGCTCATTGTCTCACGCTATCTGTCCTTCTGCACCGCCGCCGGCGACGGCGCCAACCTCCAAAAACAATTCGCCCGCCTCTCCCTAACCTCCTCTTCGTCCACCACCACCACCTCTTCTTCCTCCCAACAACCGACGACGCTCTCCCCACTCCCACCACCCACCCAGCGAACCCAACCACAACCAATCCAAACCCAACAGCAGCCACCCACACCCCAACACCAATCCTCAAAGCGGCAACCCAACCTTAACCCCCGCCCAACTCCACCAACCAACAAAACACAACCATCCCCCTCCACCACCACCACCACAGCAAAACCCCCCCCGCTACCAGCAGACGAAACGCTCCCCCAAATCCTCTCCGCCCTGCGCAAACTCCGCGAAGGGCTCGTCGCCTCGCGCCGCCGCGACCATTTCGCTGCCCAGGTCTACATCTTCAGCGTGCGGCTGGGTGTGTTGGCGGGGGCGTATGAGACGTACCACCCGGCGGGGCTGTATCTTTTGAGGTGGCACACTGACGCTGCTGGTGGCGCTGTGGGGGGTGGGGAGGGGAGCGTTGGGGCTGGTGTTGGGGGTGGTGGGAGTTTGACGAGCGTGGAGTTGCACGAGGTGGTGGCGTATCTGGTGCTGGACGCGGCGTGTCGGCGCGGGGATTTGGCGGGGGCGTATGAGCTGCGGAATCGGCATGGGTTGAGGGATGGGAAGGTGGATGCGGTGTTGGGGGCGCTGGTGGCGGATAATTGGGTGGTGTGGAGGCGGGTGAAGGGCCAGGTGGATGGGTATCGGGCGAAACTGATGGAGTTTGCCGAGCTGAGGATGACGGGCCACACGCACAAGGCGGTTTGGGGGGAGTATTGGTCCGGCCGGCAGGAGTGTTGGAGGAGCAGGCGAAGTGTGGGTGGGAGAAGATGACGAGAGGAGTTTGGGGTGTGCTGGGAGTTGGATGGGGAGAAGGTGGTGATTCCGGAAGGTTCGGGGGCAGTGAGGATAGAGACGGAAAGGCGTTAAAAAGGACGGTCATGATACCCTGGGAACATACACTGCGCATGGGTTACATGGTCTTGCATGGGATACAAGGCATTGGATTGGGTATAGGATTCAACTTACAGCTGTAGGGAATGGAAACATTTATTTCAAGACTTATACTTATATACGCGCTCGAGAACTTGATCCTGATTGTCAGCTCCCTGCCCCCTCCACCTTCTACCCACTTTCATCCCAACTTTCATCCCAACTCCTTGAGGTACCTGGCGCACCTTCCTGACGCACCCTCCCGCTTGGACCATATATACAACTTCCCGCACGTACACTGTTACCGCCTCCTCCCAATTGAAGCTAAACACCGGTTTAGCTCAGCGGTATTGGGAGGAGGACCGGTTGGACACCAATCGAAAGAGGACCGGTTCGACTCCCCCTCGCGGCGCAAAAACTCTGGTTTTCAGGGGTTTCGTAGCCACCAACCTCCATTCGACCGGCAAATGGGGCTTGGTGGTGAGCTTTTTGACAACTCTGAAAATCAGCTTCGGTTATTTTTCTTTCTGGATTTTGATGTGTGCGTGTGGTATTAATTGAATTATTGATAAGTAGCTAATAAATCGAGCGTATGTACATGTTAAGTCCAGCGAACATGTAGCTGCTAGTCTGTCAGATGCGCCGCGAACGTGCATCGACGACATTCTGTAGCCACTCTCGCCCCCGGGTACAGACATAGGTACTTATACATCATGTACAACAACATCAAACCGTAACACAGAGCCCATAACTGCGGTCACACCTATCGCTGTTCCGGCTAACCTCCGCCATCAACTACCTAGGCAGGCAGCCATGCCCCTTCAGCACCGCACCGCACCGCACCGCACCGCACCGCACAGCCATCCACCTATCCATCCACCACAAAGCACACTCGCTTGCCTACAGCAACGCAACAGCAGCAATGATGCCGCCAATGGCGCCGAGGCCGGCCGCGGCGGTGGGGCGCGGGCCGAGGTTGGAGCTCTCGCTGCTGGTGCTCTGGGCGTCGGGGTTCTGGGTCGCGCCGGCGGCGCCGCCGGTCGGGGCGGGCGACGTGTTGGAGCCGGCGCCGCTGGCGGTGGTGCTGGCGGCGGGGCCGGTGCTGCTCGCGGCGGTGGCGCAGGCCACTTCGGTCGGGAGGTCGCTCACGCCGACGGCGTCGCAGATCTGGAGGGGTAGGGGGTGGGGGGTTAGTTTTTTGTGTGTGTCTTGTTGGGATGTTTTTGTTGTTTGTTTGTTGTGCTGGCTGGTGCATGGTTATCTGAGGTGTGGGGAGGGGTTCGCTTACACCGGCAGCAGCGACCACGGCCGCCTTCTGGTCGGCCTCGCTGCACACGTCGGCCAGGCAGCACGCGATCTCGCCGAGGAAGGTGTCGTTCCTGCAGATGCACTCGATGTCTTTGCCGCAGTTGCCGATACCGCCCTGCAGGAACTTGGTCGCGCAGCTGGCCTGCCGTGGCACATGCATGTTAGCGAACGTGCCCATGTTGTTTGCTAATGCCACATCTCTTGGGGAATACGTACAGCGCACTCGGGGAGCCCGAAAGCTCCGGCATCTTGGGCGGCGGCAGCGCCGGCGAGGGCGAGGGTGAGCAGAGCAGCGGGGACCTTCATGATGGCGGTTTTAATAGTTTCGGTGGGTAATTGGTTGTTGAGGAGAATGTCAAGTTGTCTGGTGAAAATAGCGAGCAGTGATTGAGAGCGTAGGATCACCCAGGGGTGGAAGCGGCGGCCCCTTGCTCTGAGTTAAATACCTTGGAGGTTTCCGACCCCAACGCGAATTGGCCCTAGCTCTCTCCCCACGCCAATGGGACGTTCCGGGCCTGGAGAACGGACCAGGGCCACACGCCACCCGCAACCATTGGGAACTGGTGCCCCACCGATCCAAGCTGCAAGCGGAGGCGATGGGCACGGCAGCATCCATTGACCCTTTCGGCCCTACCGGAAATGGGTTCCCATGACGCGCACCTGCAGTTTTCTCTTGGGCAACGACTTTCGGCTGAGAGTGATTGTTGTGATCTCCTTCGCCGCTTCGAGGTGTGATTCGGTCCTTTTGAGGGCGTTTCGCAAATACACCGACTTGCTAAGTTGGGCAAGTCACACTACAGGTACCTCTCCAATGCTGGCACAGGCAGACCCCATCCGCGGTGACGGATCCGCTTTGAGAATTCAAACATGGGTAAGGGAACTTTGAAGCTTCCAGGAAACATCTATCCGCCGATACACGTCTTGGTGATACCCAAGGTAAACACCTCTCTCGACCGAGTGTCAGTCTCAGTCACAGTCGTACAAACAATCCTCGGTCAGCAAGGCGATCTTCGCATCGATCGTTCCAGCCGAGCCTTTTTCTCTTCTCTCGCTCATTGGCCCTCTGAAAGCCGGTCTCAGCCCAGCCAGCCAGTCCGACCGTCCGATCCCTCAACCGCCAGGTCTCATTTTCCCGGGCGGAGCCTCGGGGATCACAAGAGTGCGTTCCCCGGGCAGTGATGGCCAAAAGAGGGAGCTGTAAACACAACCTGTGTTTTAAAACAACGTGGCGGTGTGGAAGGTTGGAAAGTTCCGTGAAACTGCACAAGCTCAAAACCTCGACAATATATCGACCGAGAGGGAAAAGCCTGCACCGTCCCGAGACACCATAGGATGAACTTTGGGTTGTTGTTGAACGGTGATTCGGTCTCGGGTGGACGGTGGCTTGTCATTGCGATCCCCGTCCGTTCGCGATTGTGTTCTGCAATTGGTCGGCAGAAGCTGATGATTATAACATTGCGGGCTGCCCCCCCCCCACCCCCGAGTAAACATGGCTGTTGGTTGGTCTCCCGGGCCGTCATCCGCCAAGCACCCACTTAATCCCTGCTCCCAACACTCCCAGGCTGCACTTTAAACGACCTGCATCACTGCATCCCCGCCTGGAGCGAACGCATGAGGCAGGGGGGTTGAGTCCCATTTTTTGTCACGGGGAGGCTGATCCAACGCCGGTAGTGAACATTCATTGAACACCCAACGTTCAATACGCCCGCTGGAACCTGCACTCCACAGTGAGCTGCTCTGCTTTGCCTTTGATTTAGGCAGTTGCCATTTTCATCCGACCAGAAAATACGGGCGAAGCCGAAGTCGCGACAAGATGGGGCTGGGAATCCTCGAGGACACGGTCATGGACCACGTCCCAGGTACGACACGCTACAAGTGCCGCAACTGCCGAACCCCCGCTTATACCATACATTTTAGGGACGACCCGATACTTCGACGACCCAGAGCGACCGCAGTTTGCCACCAACGGCACCGATGGCCTCAAGTGCGATACCAGCGGGCCGGTGCCCATCATCCTCGTCCCCCAGCCCTCCGACGACCCAAACGATCCGTTGAACTGGCCACTATGGAAACGTGATCTTATCACCTTCATTCTCTCCATGGTCGCCATCTTAGCAACCTGCCTCGGCCCTATCCTCGCCGCCAACACCCTCACTCTGACATTCCACTACCGCAGGCCCTTTTCCAAGATCGCCGACCTGACGGGCTGGTACCTGCTCGGCGTGGGCATCGCCGCCTTCATCTTTGTCCCTTCGGGCCGCATCTGGGGCAAGCGCCATCTGTTCGTTGGGGGGACACTGATGTTGGTCATTACTGCGGCGTGGGGTGGAGCGTCGCAGGGCAGGGAGAACTATCAAAGCATGGTGGCGGCGAGGGTTTTCCAGGGCATTGCTACAGCTCCGTTTGAGTCGCTTGTCAACGTCGCCGTGGGAGACTTATACTGCGTACATGTGAGTGCCAATATAATGTATGTGCGGACAACACACCGGATGTAAAGTCTAATATGGAACCAGCAACGCGGTATCCGCATGGCCTTCACCAACCTCGCAGTTTTTGGCGGCGCCTTCTTTACCCCTATCCTAGTCGGCAAGATCACCAGCTCTATCGGATGGTGGTGGACCTTCTATTTCGTTGCCATCTTTTGCGCCGTTTGTCTCCCAGTCGTTTACTTGTTCTGCCCAGAGACAGCATACCGCCGAGACTCAGCCCTGAACACCGACATGCTGACCACGGATAACTACACAACGACTCGGAACACCGCTACCACGGCCGAGGACGTGGAAAAGGCCGTCTCTAGCAATGGTGACGCTTCGACGCCAGGGACGAGTGGCGCAGCCAACAAGCGGACCGGGACCGACGGAACGACAGATGCCCCGCCACCTTATAGCCCACAAGAGCCGGCAAGACCCGCACCCGGAAGTCAACGAGAAGACCAAGGTCGCCCAGCAGCCCCTCCTAGAACTCCTCAGCCCGTACCCCCCAAAGCGACGTTCAGACAATCGTTAGCTCTCTTCAACGGACGGAAGACGGACGAGAGCTTCTGGAAACTGCTCCTGCGACCCCTGCCGCTCTTCTTGCAGCCCGCCTTTCTCTGGGCCTGCCTGATCCAGGGTCTGATGATCGGCTGGACCGTCTTTATCGGCGTCATCCTCGCCCAATTCTTCATCGGCCCGCCGCTGTGGTGGAGCGAAGTGAAGACGGGATACGCCTACACGGCGGCGTTCGTCGGTGCTATTGTCGGCTTCCTCATTGCCGGCGCCCTGTCCGACTGGAGCGCGCGCTTCATGACCAAGTTGAACAACGGCATCTACGAGCCCGAATTCCGCATCCTGCTCGTCATTCCCCAGATGATTCTAGGCTGTGCCGGTCTCTATGGATTCGGTGTCACTGTCGACGGCCTGCTCAACTACAAATACACCTACATCGTCCCGCTCGTCTTCTTCGCCCTTCAAGTGGCCGGCATGGTTATCGGTGCTGTCGCGAGTTCCCTGTACATCGTTGATGCTTACCGTACGTTTTGTTCCTGTGTTTGTGTAACAATATTTGGTGGACGCCCGGACACTGACACTCCAACAGGCGACTTGGCCATCGAGGGTTTCACCTGCATGATCATCTTCAAGAACGTCTTCAGCTTTGCCCTCACTCTGAAGGCTTTCGATTGGCTCGTCGCCACCACCAGTCTTGCTACCCCGTTGTTCAACATCATCGCCTCCATCCAGGTCGGCATCTGTGTGCTCAGCATTCCCATGTGTAAGTGATAGATCCAAGCCCGGTGGCGCCACCTGTGAAATTGCAACGAGAGACTGATATGTTGTTGTACAGACGTCTATGGCAAGCGGGTCCGCAGTTTCTTCCACCGCCACGACTTGCTCGAGACCTTCAAGGTGCGGTAGTGCGGGGATTTATCTTTCTGTACTTGGTTTTTATTTGGACTACTTCCGTTAGCATTGGAGTTGGAAGAGTTGGAAATGGGCTGCTGCTGTGCGATGGTCTTCCGCGACGGCTCCTCATGATTTTGTTTAATTATATTTAATGCCTCCCGCTCATCCAGATGCTGGGGAGTGGTGATGACTTCTGGAAGTAAACATCCATTGGTTTAGATCGACAAGTTCTATTTTGCGCCTTCCTCCCTACCTCTTTCGCAAGGAAACGGCCCCCCCAAAAAATGGCAAAAGCCCAGCACTCTCTGGCCAAAAAAGCCGAACTCCAAGGGGAAATGAAATGTCGCCGAACGGCTCGACTAGAGGAACGAAAAGAAAGCCATTCCAAAGCCAAGAGTCTACTTCTTATTTAACTCGGTTTCTTTTCTTCAATTTATTTTAGTTTTCTTTTCCTCTCCTTTTTCTTTTTCTTTCTTTTTTCTTTTCTTTTTTACTTAGTACTCTCATTCAGGCTTCTCTTCCTTAGAGATCCGGGCCCCAGGGGAGCGAGATATTGTTATTGGCGTTCAAGAACTAGGGGAGTACGCAGAAAATGTCTGGGTCGAAGTGTAAATGAGCAGCCCACAGGATAGATCAGGTCCCGGACCCCCGATTCGGAAGCTTACCAAGAGCCAAAGCCGATCGCCCAATCGAGCCGATAACCCAACCGGGCGGCGGGCCTACGAAACCGTCTTGTCTGCCATACCGCGCATGGGCACTCGACAGTTAGTTATCTGGGCAGCCGTACTGTGTTGAGCGCAACGCCGTTCCACTCGACCAGGCGTCCCCTGGTAAAGGCTAACCCGGAGGCTGCTCCCCAAACTCGCATTCATAGTTAACCCCTTTCTGCCGACTGACTGCCATCACATGCCCGCACACACCCCTGCCCGTTAGGAGGGCCTACTGTTTCATTTCGTTCCGGATCACTTGAAGTTGAAGAAAGCATTTGTACCGTGTACTGTGTACATCACGAATTACACCAGGCATCATACACAAATCGCCTGCTTATAGAAAGAACAATGACCATAGAAGTCGGTCCACACGCTCCAACTCATTACCACCAAGTGACGATGTTGCGCCAAACCCCACGCCGTTCCACCCTCCCTGTATACAACAAATAACCATACAGCCCCTTCACAACTTCCCCTTCTTCCGTCCATCCTTCAAATGCTTGCTCACCTCCCCGGTCAACAAATAATCCGGGTACACCATGCCCGGATCCACGCCCACCTCCAACCCGCCCTGCCTGCGCCAGCCCGCTCCATCCACCACCAACGTCGTGCCATTGACATAATTCCCCGCATCACTAAACACAAACACCGTCGCGTCCGCAATATCCCGCACCGTACCCCAGCGGCCGCTCGGCACGCCCCGGTCCTTCTCGCGCTGCGTCATCAGGTCGCTCGACAGGCGCTCCATGCCCTCGGTGCCGGCGATAGCGCCGGGGGCCACGCAGTTGGCCGTGACACCCAGCGGGCCGTATTCGATGGATACCGACCCCACGAGGGAGTCGATGGCGGCCTTGGCGGCGGACACGTGCGCCTGCAGCGGCATGCCCGTGTAGTGGAAGGTGGCGGACACGGCGAGGAAGCGGCCGCCGGTGAGGCCTGATGGGTGGGGGTTGGGGCTGTTGCGCGCGGCGGAGGCGACGAGGTGCGGGATGGTCGCTTTGATGGTGTTGAAGGTGCCGATGGTGTCGATGTCGATGACGGTTTTGAAGGCGTTGGGGCTGAGGCCGGAGAGGGGCGCGATGAAGTTGCCTGCTGCGCCGGCGCTGGGGATGGGGGTTAGTGTGGGTTGGGGGGAGGGGAAGGTAGGCTTGCTTACACGACGTAGTCGATTGCGCCGAGCTCCTTCACGCAGCGGTCTGCAGCTGCTTTGAGGGAGTCGAACTAAGGGTTGTGGTTAGTACTGCAGATCTTATCTTATCAAGGGAATCTCATATGGCTGAGGCATGAATGAGGTGAGACTCACGCTGCGGACATCAACGCCGCCGATTCCAAGTACCCGGGCTCCGTTGCGGACCTTTGCAATTTCCTTTGCTGCGGCCTCGGTCTTCTCGACATTGCGCCCGATGATGCAGGCATCAGCTCCGAGGTGGACGAGCGCACGTGTCTGAGCGCTACCGATGGTTCCGGCACCGCCAGTGATGAACAACACCCGGTTGGCTAGAGAAAGAGTTGTTAGTGAATAATTAATTTACTTAGAAATTAGTGTTGTTAATTCTAGGCCAGGCGAGACACGAACCGAATATGCCGTTGGCCCAGGCGTTACTGAGATATTCGGACTTCGCGATAGACATGTTGTTGACGGTGCGCTGCGAGAAGATGGGATGCGCAGGCGGCGATGAGGGGGAGGCAGAAATGGGAGAACAACAAGGGCGAGGAGTCACTATTAAGAATCAAAATCACAGATAAATGAGATGTTGAAATTCTGAGTAATCTTTAGATAGGAGCTGGTTTGCTTGAAATAGGAGGGCGCAATCGGCCAAGTATAGACCTACCGTTCCTGGAACCTCGGCTAGCTCGGTCAGACCCACTTTAAATCGGCGACGACGACGAGCCATTCGCAATGTTTAGTTATCATCTCAAGTCTGCATGCTCACTCTCGGCGCTTCGCCATCCACGAATACAGCGAGCCACTTACACTGGTCGTTCATACATAGTTACTTAATATATACATTATGAAACCACCTATACAGTGGCTGTAGCTGGATTCGCAGTAGGGATCCACTCTGCCAGTAGTTGGTGTGGGCGACATGAGAATGCATGCACTTACCATGTATGTACATACAACCGGCAGAGCTGTATTGAGAATAACAGCTAGGCAATTGATCCGGCAATGATTATATTTATTCAGGTACCAGTGACTGAATGTCGTCTTGTATGAACAGGTCAACGATCACACGTTCATCTCATCCCATCAAGCTGTTTATGTCCAGCCAAATCCGGAAAGCTTCCAAACATTCTTGGCAGTTTGCCCCACCAACAATCGCAGCTTTCTGGAACGACCTGAGGTCACGTCAATTTACGCGACCAACACCGCTTTCGCGTTTTAGCATTCACCATTCTCGAAACAACGACAGAATACACAAAAAAAAACTAACTGTAACATCCGCGCTCAATTGGCTGCCCCCAAATCGACAAAATGGCGACCGTAGTGCCTGAAGACGACGTGTATGTAGCCCCGAAGAAAAGGGCTCTGCCCTTCAAGCGCACCGTCGCGCGGAAACAACGATTGAGCGAAGAGCCAAAGAAACCCGATGAGGACAACGACTTGGATCTGTTTCGTCACTCAAAAGAAGTCTTTCCCGAGGTTCTCCGCGAAGCCAAAGAAGCGGAAGAAGAGAAGGATCAAAGCCAAAATGATCGGAAGCGAAGGAAGCTCTCGTCGAGCTCATCGAGCGACCCGACACATTCCCGCAAGCAATCGACGACTGCCGGGGACGGATCCGATGATGATCTAATAATGGACGTGAAGGGCAAGGGGAAAGAAATAATTCGACCCCGAAGATCGTCCACACCTCCCCTGCCTTCCTCAGCACAAACGATCCTAAGAACACCAAGCTCAAATCGAGCAAGCCCAAAGGCAGCGTCTTCACGGAGAACCAGGTCCCAAAACCAGAACGGCTCACCCGCCCTCCCCGTCACCATCACCGACGACTCCGACTCCGACTCCGACGCCAAACCCCCTACATCCCTCCCCCAACAACAAAACGACCTAACCAACCCTGCAACCCGCCTCCGCCCAGAAACCGAACCACCCACCGAACTCTCCTCCCCCATCGAAATCCTCCCCAACCCCAACCCCTTCACCTCCCCCTCCCCCCCCAAACAACCCGCCGAAGCCGACTTCTCCGAATGGATCACCAAAGCGCGCGCCCTGCAAGCCGCCGACGACCAAAAAGCCGTCGTCAAGATCTTCATCAGCTCGCGCCTCCCCGGCTGCGAGCTGCCCGTCATCGCCCAGCGCCGCCTCAACCAGGGCGTGCAGCTGCTGCTCGACGTGTGGGTCAGCCAGAAGGTGGACGTCCTCGAAGAGCTGCGCGCCCGCGACCCGGTCTTTGCCGCCGCGCCCATCGCCGCGGGCCGGTTTTTCCTGACCTGGAAGGGGAATAAGATTTATGGTCATAGCACCCTCGCGGCGCTGGGGGTAAGGGTCGATGCGCGGGGGGCGCTGCGCGGTGCGCATGGGGATGGGTATGTGCGGGATGGGCTGCATCTCGAGGTGTGGACTGAGGAGGCCTATGCCGAGTATCTGGAGAATCGTGGGAAGGAGTGGGCGTTGAAGTTGGGGGAGAAAGAGGAGGAGGACGGGGAGTATGGGGTGGATGGGAGGGGGGCTGGCGCTGGTGCTGGTGCGGGGGGTGGGGAGGCTGCGGCTGCGGCAACCCCGAAAAAGAAGGGGATCCGCGTCGTGCTCAAGGCCAAGGAGCACGAGGCGCTGAAGCTGACGACCAGGGAGGAGACGGATGTGGAAATGCTGATCGAGGCGTTCCGCACGCAGCGGGATATTGGGCCGGAGTGGTCTGTTGCGATCTACTTTGATGGGGAGAGGCTGGAGGAGGACGCGCTCGTTTCGGAGATCGATGTAGATCCCGACGATGTGAACCAGATGGAGGTGCATGTGAAGAAGGCGGCTAGTTGAGGAAATGGTTTGATGATGTTGGGGATCTGGGCGGCGATGATTTTGCTATAGGACGACGGTCAGGACTATGATACCCAGCGGAGCTTCAAGGGGTGGAAGGGAAGCACGCCAGACTTTTTATCGATACTGCACGGTTGGGTTGGCGTTCTTGCAGGCCCCGGTACTGGGTAGTTATGAAGATCTATTTTCATTCATGCATGACAGACAAGCCACAAATACGCCCAAACGCCGACCAGCCATGCCCCCAATGCTTTTCCCCACATCATGTCCCGACTAAAACCTCTCCTTCATCCGCGAGGCGATTATCCTTAGGCCGTTGTAGACCTTGCCTGGTTGGGCACCGAGTACCAACGAGACGATGCTAGGGGGAGTCAGTCAAGTTTTAATCTTCAATTTTCAAGAAAAACGCACCTTTCACGCGCCATCCCAATGTTCTCGAAAGCACCGAGAATATGCACCCTTGATCCGGCGAGCACAATACGTGTTTTCGTCGCTGCGGTCCTCCGTTAGCCTCATCCCTCTCACCCACGGCCCGCAGCAATAACTCACCATTCTCGATCGCAAACTTGGTTTTCTGTTCGAATTGTCAGCACATCCCCCATACACAACAACACAGCCCTCCGCCTTCGCGAGGGCGAATGCGTGGAACTTGAAAAACCGACATACCCCGTCCTTGCCCGCAATCCGCCCAATGGCGCGGCCCAGCGCGTCCTGCCCAAGCGTCTGGCGGACATCCTTGATGTCGAAGGACTGAATATACAGCGAGTCTAGACGTAGCAGCGCGATTGCGTCATCGATGTCGAAGCCCATCGCGAAGGCTGACACAAAGTCGGCGCCCATCTGTAGCGAGTCGTTGGATGTGGTGAATTTGGAGGACCGCAGCTCGACGCGCTTCTCCTTGATGTTCATGCGCACTTGGAGCTTGCAGTGGTCGACGAGTGGGGGGTAGCTAGATCGCAGGTTAGTGGGAGGGGGTTCGTGGGGGAGGGTATCGGAGAGGGGGCGTACATCTGAAAAGGTGTTAGTGAACTCCGGCTAAGGGGGGAAGCGAGTTAGGGGAAGGGGACGGACCTTGGACCAGTTGCTCTTCAATGCAGACATGCGGTTTGGCGGGATGGGGATCTTTCTTGTCTCGGCACGGCGAACGGGGTCCTGCGGACGGAGAGCAGGGCATCAGTAGAAGTCCTCCTCCGTGATTTGTCGACCCAACCTACGATATCCTTCCCTGGCGCAAACCTTGGCCGTCCCTCCTCGTCCACTACCATATCAGTTTCTTCGGCGGTTGTCGGCGGCGCAATAGCGGTAGGGTCGACCGTGTTGGCATCTTGCATGTCGACAAGGAGCTCATCCTCTTGCTCAGGCACAGGCACGAGGGCCGCTTCGGGGACGGCCGCTGGCTGAAGGAGGGCTGTTGGCGCGGGCATCGTGGCGAGTGTCGATTAATTAACTTATCGGTAGCGGCTAGAGATGGGGCAAAAACGGTTCGATCAGAAAGAGGGGCTGTCGAGGTTATCGTCGGTCGGGTGTGTTCACCGTCTTCAATTTGTTGCTGCGATTTTGATATGGTGGGGTCGAAATTCGTTCAAAAAATGGTGGACCCACTGGCAAAATCCAGTCTTATCCATTGGCTACACACCCTGGTTTTACAATGCAACCCCTGCAGTCCCGGCTCGGGCGTCATCGCCGACAAGCCTTTCATGCACAGCGCGTTCCAAGGTTTCGTTTCGTTCGCTGCTTGCTCAGCTCCCCTCTATTAGGTACCTAGCTTGGGCCAGCCACCCTCAACACCCCTCTCGAGACGTGCATCGACGATCGTCCTCGACAATGGCCTGAGGCTTACCTTTAGAGGTCTATGTGCGGCGGCACGTCTTTCAACAATGACCTCTGGGCCAACGACGACCCAGCTGGGCCGTCAGTTTTGGGGCTCGATTCGCAGTTCCGTTATAATCCTCACCGAAAGACTCCCAACACGACGCCCGCTCTCAAGTCAACCATCTGCGGGGCAGTCCTTATTCAACACAACACACAGCCAGAACGCCCGTTTCTTCCACACTGCCCGACGATTCTTCCAACCCTACCCCGCGCGGGTCTCACCCAACAATGTCCGAAAGAGCTGCACCTCGGGCGGCCTTCTTCTGCTTGGAATAAGCTCCAGTCCGGCATCCACGAGCACGGTTGTGACGACATGCACCGCAGCGGCAGACTTGGTACTCGTTGGCAGCTCCGGACAGAGGGCGAATCTAAGCTATCTGGTTAAGCAAGCATGGCGTCGGAGTCGGCAAGCCAAAGGCGGACCGGGGCGTGCTGTAGGGTCTGACACGAGGGCGAGTAGCTCGGGGAATTCGGGGACGAAGGGGGAAGGGGAGAAGAGCAAGTTGGTTTCTCCGAAGCAGGAGCCCGAACCACCACAACAGACACCCGCCGGGCCACCGGCCCCCGGGACCCCCGAGCACGAGTCTTTGGCGGACTCAATGTCCAAATACCTGCATCTCCCGAAGATGCCGCACCGGCCAACAAAAGAGGAGCTGCTTTCCGCGGCCAGCGGGTTCCGCGAACGTTTGAAAGTACGGTTCAAATGGTTCTCTATCAGGAGCATGCGGCCGTGGAATGCAGACGAATGGGGAGCATTCGTTTCATGGTTCTTGTTTGGGCACCTTGTGTGGATTTTGGTCGGAACCACGACCTTTTTCTCCCTCATTATTCTCACCATCAACACCGTTTTCGCGCAGGGTAAGTGTCCCCAGTTCACTAACTCCAAAAGACAGGGCTGACGGGATATCAGAAACTCTTGCCAAGTGGATCGGTGACTATCTCACCCAATCAGCCGGCCTCACTGTGGTGTTCGAATCGGCCATCGTGCCGAAATGGAAAGACAACGTCATCACTTTTCGTAATGTTTTTGTCTCTCGGCGGCCGGGTCAGGGGAAGTCCACTGTGAAGAAGGGATCTTCCAACGCTGCCGCGGAAGCGGCTGCCGCAAGGAAGGCAGGCCTGGACGCAGCCGTGGAGGAAGAAGACGACGGCAATTACACGCAGTTTGACGTGACAATTGACACGGTCAACGTTACTTTATCGTTCATCAAGTGGTGGAACGGCAAGGGCCTTCTGAAAGACGTCGAGGTCAAGGGCGTCCGAGGCGTGGTGGACAGGACATCGGTTCAGTGGAATGCTGAGCCCGTGGACCCGCTTACGTATCGGCACGAACACAACCCAGGAGATTTCGAGCTGGATCATTTCAGGATGGAAGATTTGTTGGTCACAATCCACCAACCAAACGGGTTCCGTCCGTTTTCCGTCTCCATCTTCTCCTGCGAGCTCCCTCAACTGAGGAAGCAATGGCTCTTCTACGACTTTCTCTCTGCGTCACACATGTCGGGTTCGTATGATGGGTCACTGTTCACTATTCACCCTCGTCAAATACACGGCATATCCTCTGCTAAGGAGCGGCGCCAGGACGAATTCGGCGATTCATCTGTTTGGAAGAAGTTCTCTCGGTTGCGCATAGATGGGCTCAAGATTGACCACCTGAACCGTGGCGTTGAAGGGCCGTTTGGCTGGATCTACGAAGGCAACGTGGACATCGTCGCCGACGTCATGTTCCCGACCGACCCCGCAGAGGGCATCGGCAAAGTGGTGGCTGAGTTTTACGACAAGATGGAAGAAGCTGTGACAAGCAACCGCTACATCCAAATCCTCGACAACACCAACGTCCGCAGCCGCAAACCCCAACCAAACACCATTGATAATTATGCGTCGGGCGTCTCAGTCAACAACGACATCAACGCCATGCATTATTCCTCCCCTCTCGAAGAGGCCATCTCCACCACCGCCCCCAGCCCACCCTCGTCGTCACCCGCAGAAAAAGCCGGTGACGAAGCAGAACAACAACAACAAGAAGAAGAAGAAGACGCACCCTCCTATCTCGTCATGGACATGCGCATCCACCTCAACGACGTGCGCGCCGCGGTGCCGCTCTTCAACAACCCGCACATCAGCTACGTCAACCAGGCCCTGGTGCGGCCCATCGTCGCCTACATCAACGCCAAGCGCACCTACATCCCCATCACCTGCCGCATCGTCAAGCGCCTGCAGGACTTTGACGGCGCCTGGACCGTCTGGGACTGCGGCCTCATGGACGACACCAGCGCCGAGATCTACTCGGCCTTTGCCCAGGACGTGGTGGATCAGCAGAGCCGGGTTCGTCGCTTCAAGCGCGTGGGGTTATGGACTGTCAGTTTGGTGGTGCATGCGTTGCTGGCGGGCGTGGCGGGGGATTTGATGTAGACGGTTCTTTTGGGGGGGGTTGCGAGGCGCCCGTTCTTTTCTCTCGACTCTGGCGGCGTTTTGAATGTGATGTGTACGAAAACAGGGAGGGGGGATTATGAAAATAAAATAGGGGGGGGTTGGCGGAACTCATGTTGGTGTTAATTTGGGTTGTATGGGTGAGCGCAAAAATGGCGTTGTGGCTTGGGATGACGGTAGTTTTATGACTGGTTTGGGGAGGCAAAGTCACGCCCAGCGCGTATCGGTGTCTGGATGGCAGCCCAAGCGTGGGCGGTAGTTCCAACACCTAAGCGTCATTGTTGTATCAAGAGACGTGATTCGATAGTTACACTATTTTGGGATTTTGCGGGTATTGCTTCTCCCCCATATCTACAAATCGTCCACTCTATATTCAAATAGCGGGGACTTGGGCCCCGGCCGGTTGGGGAATCCCATTACAATGTCATTTTCACATTGGGACATGGATTCAATTATGACTTGCGAAAAGCTGGGGTTACCGGATGGTGGAGGGGGGGGGGGGGGGGCACGCTCGTTATTGTTCGGGTTAAAGCAATATTGTTATTCGCTAGTGGAGCTATCCTCTACACACCTTCTTCAATTTAGCTAACCACTGACTACCATTCCCAGATAGATCAACGCTGTCTTGGCGGACCTATGGACTAGGTAGCCCCCTTCCTGCCCCAACAACCCCTTGCAGGGACAACATTGTGTCTCAGCCGTGACTCGACAGGCTGTAAGCGAGGTCCCGTGCCGGTCCCGCGCAGGGCTTGCCCGTAGGTGTTATTGTTGCCGCTGATCGTGGTACTACCGGCGAGGCTATCACCTGTTCTCCTCTGTTTTGGAGAGAATCACATGGGGGCCATCCGGCGAATTAACGGGTCATGGCGCTAGGCTTTCACATGAAATCGTCGCTGAGGACAAATGTTAGACTCGGGGGTTGAGGGACAAGAGCGTCAAAACCACTTACTCGCCAAAGCCAGCATCATCATCATCGTAGGCGGCCGTGTCTGCCATTCCACCACCACGGCTCACGCCGGCAAGAGAAGTCTTAGTCTTTGCGGCCTTCGATTTCTTGCCGCCCTTATCAGCAGCCTTTTCTTCCTTCATCTTCTCGTTGCTGAGAGCAGTCAGAGTACTGGCGATCTTCTTAATTTGGTCGCTCGGCAGCTCCTTGGCTAGTTGCTTGGTGAACTCCTGCAGGAAGAGGGTGTAGTGCGCCTTCTTGGAGCTGCCCGACAGGATGGGGCCCAGAACGTTGCGCAGCTGCTCGAACTGCAGCTTTGTCCCGGGCTTGAATAGCGGGAGCGCAGAGAGGTCGACCGTCTTGCTGGGATCGCTCGCGTCGATCGGGACGGCGCTCCCGGCTGTCGTAGCCTTGCGCCCCGCTGCTGATGCCAATGCTACCAAAGAGGTCTTCGGCGTGGCGCAGATCGGATTCCTTCTCGGTGCGGACGTAAGCGCTCGCGCGCCTGTGCCTCGGTTTCCTCCTCGCTGTCCTCGTCATCGAGCCTCTGCCCTGAGCCTGAGCACGTTCTGACCTGACGCTCTGCTATCCTCTGGGACTTGCTCTTCTTATTAGGCAGCTGCTTCTGCTTCCGCCTTGGCCCTTGGCTTCTGCGACCTTCTTTGCCTTCTTCGCGCTCCACCTCGGAGTCTTCGGCAGCATCCCAGGATTCTAGGAACCTATGGCCGTGGCAGGTTAGCCCGGGAATTGTCGTGTTGTTATCGGACGTCCACGGGAGCAAGACGTACATCGCTATCCTCAGCTTCCTCGTCGTCGAATTTGCGACGCCCGGCGCCGACAACCGGGGAGTTCGGAGCTGAGCTGGACTCCTCCTCTTCCTCCTCTACAAGAACTACACGTTAGCATGGTTGCTTTCTATAAGTTAAAGCTCGGCTCGTCATCTTGGTTTCGGATGTTGTTGATGAGGCACAGGTGAAAGCATCCATCCTGCCAACAGCAAACCCCGTCCCTCGCGCGCCAAAATTGTGGTCTTGCGAGAAATGGCGGGGTAGAGGAACAAATCGCGACTTACCCCACTGTTTGCGTGGACCAGGCATGACTGCAGATATTTTATCAGAATTTGATGGATTGCTGATTTGGCGTCGTAGCGCGAGGGCTTCGGTATGGAAATGCGCGGTTAGGTAGGTAGAGAATGCGGTGGAAAGTTGTTGATTGGGTTTAACGTTGGGCAGCCGACAAAAAGTTATTTGCGTGTGCCACCCACCCCTCGCCGGGTTGCCCCTCCGTCTGTGCTTGTGACGGCGGGGTCCACAAGCGGGACCCGAAACCACTGAACGGGCAGGCCAAATGGACTCGGCCCTTAGTTATATGTTTGTGAGGACGAGGGAGTTAAGACTAGTTGTTCTACTTTGAAAGTTTGATGAACGAAGACCATACGTGTGCGTCACAGAGGATGCGAGGAAACCCTTTTCCGACCCTTTAATCGGTTTCCTTGCCTTTCCTGGTTTGGCTTGGAAGCCTTTTTCCCACAATTTTTTGGATGGAAGTGGCAACGTGGTGGGTTAGATGCAAGGCAAGGTACAAATTACGTTGATCTGGACTTCGATGATGGTCGACACACTTCTGGTTTGCGACGGCAACGAACGACGTTACATCCCTGTCTGGTCTCCAATTGTTCGTGCCTGAGCTCCTCCTCTCATCGCCGCAAATCGTGCCTCATCCTACTTCAGCCACAGTTCCGATCAATGATAACAGTACGGAACTAAGATCCTCGCAGTTTGGGTGCGGTGATGTTGTCGCCTGTTAGTGTTCGCCAAGGCCCTTCGCTCGCAAAGAGTTCGCCCGAGTCCGCCTTGTGGTCCTTCTCCGTTTCTGGGCGCATTCTCATTGATTCAAATCGGCGCCTGGGCCACATCAAGCTGACAAGGCAGAATCCTGTTGCCGGAAACGGAAAGGAGGTGAGTTGCCCTGCGACGCGGCAGTGGCTGCCATCTGTCACCCAGCCATCGCACCCCCGCGCCGTTCGCTGCCTGGTGCGGTTCCGTTCCTGCACCCCAATGCCTGCTGCAGCTTTGCGGTGGACGGCAAGTCGGAGAGAGTCACGAGAGGCAGCCAATCGCCGAGCGCCATCGCCCACAGCACCTGCCGCCTTTCAGACCACAAGTCCTACCAAGTCCTAAGCACGCGCGCCATAGCGTCTGGATTTCGGGTTTTGGTGAGAAGAGCACCCATAGGACCTCGGTGACGATCCCGCAAACTCCTCACGCCTCGTTGGCACCACGCAATCCGCACAAACAGAAATATAGGAAAAAAAAAATTGGGGTGGGCGGATGAGCTTGCTGCCTTTCCGTTGGATTTCGTGCACATTGCCCATTCATTCATTCTTCGCTTTTTTTCTCCCTTGAGCGTTGCCCCTCTTCCATTCTTGGCCCTATTGGTTGTTACAGTTGGGGTCCGTTCGATTTGCGCCGGCCTGAGGTCAACACCATCAGTCAGATGGATAACAAAAAACGTTTCCCCTCTCTCCTGGAGGACCGCTCGCTTTGGCCCGACATGGCCGTCCGAAATGGCGGCCGGTCGGGGTCTCGAAATGGAGATGAAAACACAAGCACGTGCCCGACGCTGTCCAACTCGGATCTCCATCTCGAACCTAGCCAGCACCACGATGCCTTGTCTTGCGTGTACGTATCTAGATCGCTGTTCGCTGTTGTTGTCATTGTTATTGTCTCAAGCCGAATCAATGTTGGGCCTGACCATATATACAGAACCAAAGAAACATCCCAAGAAGATTGTGCCAGGCACAGATTCATCGTCTGGGCGGCGGTGAAACGAAACTCGTCCACACGCATGACTCCCCAGGAACGGCTGGAATGCCCGCTGCTGAGATGTACGCAGCGGTTCCTGGACCACGAGTCGATGCTCAAGCACTTAGCAAAGTGCAGGTATCTTGCCTCGGGAGAGTATTGGTGTTACGATCACATGAGGTTGGAACGCTTCGACGACCTCAAATGCAAGAGGTGTTTGGGCCATCCATCGAAGAGGAGGAAGATGCTGTCACTGGCGAAGACCTTCTTCCACTCGCTTGGGCATAAGGGCAAGAGGGGACCTGGCGCCGCTTTTATCGACGACGAAGTTTTGCGACAGCCGCCTCCGAGCTACGACTCCCTGAACATCCCCACCACCGATGCCAACGCGAGCGAGCTGCCATCGACCGAGATTCTTGAAATCGATTCCTTCGAAGTGTCCATCCTCGACCCCACTCCTGCGCCAGCTCCCCTCCTTGAGCCCACTCCTGCGCCAGCTCCCGGCGATGGCATCGATCCCCAGGCGCTCCTCATGCCCACGGTCCCGGCCCTCCCCGAGCTCGACTCGACCGAGACTTTTACTCAATGGCAACCTGGGTCGGGATTTACGCCATCGCCATACCCAATCTCGGGCTACCCCTTCCCACCCGCGACGATGAGCACCCCTTCCACCTTCGACGCCCAACTTTTTGCTACCCCGCATGATTCCGACCTTCTGAGGGGCGCAACCTTCAAGTCTGCACTGCAGTTGACCACCGGCGGTCTCGCCAACCGTCGCCAAGTGCCTCGGCAGCCCCGCGGCCGTGTCCTGCGGCTGCGCGCAGCAGCATGGGCCTCTCGCCTAGCTCGTGGTCCGGTCGACAGCCAGTACCGACTCCAACACGAGCGCGGTGAGCTACGGCAGCTCGATGATCTCTTCGGCTCTGATTGGAGTGAGTCTGGTCAATAGCTTCGGGCTGGATACGAGCATGACTTCCCCGATCGAGGGAGCCGTGGACCGACGAATTGTTTGCGGATGTGTT